TACGACGAAGGAATTCCCTCAAACTACATAAAATGTCTAGATAATGCTTGTTGTTTACCGTTCTGCCTTCGGGAGTAAATTCTGGATGAACAATTCCTTGAGAATCAAAAAACACCTCAATCATGTCTTTTTTTTGCTCGGTGCATGTTAAGTTTTTCCGTTAAAATACGCTGGCAACTAGTCTTTGATAAGTGAGTAGCCGCAGTGATTTTTTCAAGGGTTTGGCGACAATCTTTGCCAACATATTGAGAGACCAACTCAACATTTTCCTCGTTCCGTGAAGTCAAAGGTTGGCCAGTGCGTTCATCGTCTGCGATGGATTCTCGGCCCTTTTTAAAACGCCGATGCCATTTGTACATCTTTGATTTCGCCATGATAAAATCACCGTACCCCTTTCTTAGCAATTTTGAAGTCTCCGTAGGTGTTTTACCTAAACGCTGACAAAGTTTAATGTTGCAGCGCTGTTCTTGAAACTCCATTTTTATAACGTCGCAAAACAAAGATAATTTTCTCCGAAAGAAAACAACAGCGCTCGCGGTTTAATTACGTGACATGGGAAAAAATCAACCTGAACACATAGGAAAGGTTTGAGAGAATCAATTTCATACACTCTAACTTCAAATACATGCTTTTGTTGTCATACATTACTGTAGTCCTCGAACTTTTGAATCGTACCACGTATATTTTAAATTACAATTTTTATGAAAAATTGCGAATTTAATAACAGAATAATGTTGAATTGTGATATAGCATATATACAGCACATTTTAACTAAATCTAAATATACAAAATTAGTTGTCCTGACTGACTGAATCACTGATTCATCATGGCCCAGAGAAAACCGCTGGACCTAAAGAAATAAAATTTGGTACACACTTAGGGTACGTCATGGAAACGCACACAAAGAATGGATTTTTTCGAAATTCCCCCGTGGAAAGGAGAGGGAAAGAATTAAGGCTTAATCTGAAGAAAAGATTAAAGGTTTAATTAATTAAAGGTTACTTCTACTGTACTATTTTAGATGCGATGTTTTGTTTTTAACTGCGTTTAGTGTTCATTGAGTGCTTAGGTGTATTAAATTGATAACTTTTCAGATATTGTTATAAATATTTTTTTAATATATTTCGATTTTTAAACAAATATTCAAACCGTTTTAAATTTGAATTTGTTATTGCATATTGGTTCGATTATAGAACGATCGTAAATGTTCCAGAAAATTGGTCAAATTGAAAACAGTTCTTTTGATTCGCAGCAATTCTTATCATTCTTTGAGAGAGGTGTTATAGATACGCGTTTATTTTAAGGAGGAATTATCACGAGCGATCTCGTCGAGGACTTCGGGTTCAGTATGGAGGTGATAATGCCGGAAGAAACGCACACCAATCCAAGTTCATTAACACTATAACCGTTTATTGTTGAACATTTTAACATAGATAATTAATTAAGGAGTCGAGAGTACAGTTCCCTCTCGGGTTAACATCCCATATAGGTAATTCCATTCGAGAAAGGTAGCTAACAATATTTAATAGTCGTGTCCCTATCCGCATTTCGAAAGTACTCGAGAGAGGGCTTACATATCATTGCGAGTAGGATAAATACCTCTAGTTGTAAACGTTGATGTCTAGGTGATATCCAAATCCTCGTCATTCTCAGTGTTCATAGTGATGTTCAGAATCAAAAAGTCTATTGAAGACGGTGGCGACGAGAGGCAGGAAAATCCACACACGCAGTATAGAAAAATAACTTTCCCCCCTGTATGGTCATCGCACTTGCCTTTTATATCGGGGCTCTCTTTTCGAGATTTCCATATGTACGTCACATGTGATAATCTTCTTTGACCAATGGTGGGCGAAGTGACAGAATTATGACACAACAGTTAACTCATCTTCTACAAGACAGTATTTTCGTGGGAACGGAGTTTTATAATAGATTTTTATGAGAAAATTTTGTCTGTTGTTTTTCTCTTTTTGAGTTAAAACACAGTTAAACTTATAAACTAAATACTACAGCAATTTTACATATCAAATGACTCCATAATTTCCATACCACTGTAAGTACTTTATTTAATTTTTGATCATTCAATACCATTCAAAAATAGATTATTTTGCCCGAATTTCATATGTCTTTGACAATACTGGGTGGGTGTAACACTTCTAATTTCCGCCAGTGTAGATCATTCTATCCTCATTAATAAATAAATAAAATAACAAAATCTTGTATAATGGCTGATAAATACTTATATTTATTATATGTCTCTTCAATCCGAATAGTTAACAAACGGTAGACTTTCTTTCAGCTCTGAGGTTAAGTATTCCTTTATTGTAAATTACATATATTACAATTGTAATTTACAATAAAGGAATACTTAACCTCAGAGCTGAAAGAAAGTCTACCGTTTGTTAACTATTCGGATTAAAGAGACATATAATAAATATAAGTATTTATCAGCCATTATACAAGATTTTGTTATTTTATTTATTTATTAATGAGGATAGAATGATCTACACTGGCGGAAATTAGAAGTGTTACACCCACCCAGTATTGTCAAAGACATATGAAATTCGGGCAAAATAATCTATTTTTGAATGGTATTGAATGATCAAAAATTAAATAAAGTACTTACAGTGGTATGGAAATTATGGAGTCATTTGATATGTAAAATTGCTGTAGTATTTAGTTTATAAGTTTAACTGTGTTTTAACTCAAAAAGAGAAAAACAACAGACAAAATTTTCTCATAAAAATCTATTATAAAACTCCGTTCCCACGAAAATACTGTCTTGTAGAAGATGAGTTAACTGTTGTGTCATAATTCTGTCACTTCTCCCACCATTGGTCAAAGAAGATTATCACATGTGACGTACATATGGAAATCTCGAAAAGAGAGCCCCGATATAAAAGGCAAGTGCGATGACCATACAGGGGGGAAAGTTATTTTTCTATACTGCGTGTGTGGATTTTCCTGCCTCTCGTCGCCACCGTCTTCAATAGACTTTTGGATTCTGAACATCACTATGAACACTGAGAATGACGAGGATTTGGATATCACCTAGACATCAACGTTTACAACTAGAGGTATTTATCCTACTCGCAATGATATGTAAGCCCTCTCTCGAGTACTTTCGAAATGCGGATAGGGACACGACTATTAAATATTGTTAGCTACCTTTCTCGAATGGAATTACCTATATGGGATGTTAACCCGAGAGGGAACTGTACTCTCGACTCCTTAATTAATTATCTATGTTAAAATGTTCAACAATAAACGGTTATAGTGTTAATGAACTTGGATTGGTGTGCGTTTCTTCCGGCATTATCACTTCCATACTGAACCCGAAGTCCTCGACGAGATCGCTCGTGATAATTCCTCCTTAAAATAAACGCGTATCTATAACACCTCTCTCAAAGAATGATAAGAATTGCTGCGAATCAAAAGAACTGTTTTCAATTTGACCAATTTTCTGGAACATTTACGATCGTTCTATAATCGAACCAATATGCAATAACAAATTCAAATTTGAAACGGTTTGAATATTTGTTTAAAAATCGAAATATATTAAAAAAATATTTATAACAATATCTGAAAAGTTATCAATTTAATACACCTAAGCACTCAATGAACACTAAACGCAGTTAAAAACAAAACATCGCATCTAAAATAGTACAGTAGAAGTAACCTTTAATTAATTAAACCTTTAATCTTTTCTTCAGATTAAGCCTTAATTCTTTCCCTCTCCTTTCCACGGGGGAATTTCGAAANTATACATCAAAACCAGTCAAATAACTTTTCCTTTAGCCAATTTTATCTTGAATTGAATTAGCCAATTATGACTGATTTCATGTTTATAGAGTTAAGGCAACACAATACAATGGTGATCTGCCAATGGAGATATTTCCCAGAAAGACTTTTACGACAAACTGGCCCCTATTTAGGTTTTAGATATATGAAGAAAACCTGAAAAACTTCATGCAATCAGCCCATTGGTTAGTTACAAATATGTGATCAACTATGATCAGTGCTTTCAGCCACTGCATTGGTACTGGTGAACCACACTAATGCTAATGTTGTTTTCTAAATTTTCAACTTTACATGAATATTCCTTCCAAGAATTTTATTAAATTTTTAAAGAGTAGAGTAATAAGTAGTAACTCAATGCAAGTACAAAACAAAATAAAAATAAACTTACATAATAAGCCATGTATTTTCTGACACATGTGCATGCCAAAATGTAGAGTTATCTAATTGGTTATTTTTGTTTGAATTTGACTTTTATCAACTGGCAGTAAAAAAATTTGAAATGTTACAATTGCTCAAAGTAAAACAGTTGAATTGATCTTCATAAAAATCAAGATGTGTTTGCTCTACTCAACACAATAGATTATGGTAAGGCAAATAATATTATAGTGAATTAAAAGGAAAAGTAGAGTAATTAAAATTAAAGTTAAGTATGTACTTTAATTACATCAGTTGTTAACTATTGCCCATCTTTGTTAGGTTAATATAAAAAAATACAAATGTATATTATTGTAACATAGTCACAATAGCAGGTAGCAATTTGTAATCTTGTCTTAATTTAAAAATTTACGTGACTTCCGATCCAAACCCGAAGTAGGCATACGGTTAATCGGACTTTCGGCTTCTATACTTTTCATATCTGGTACTGGATTTTCATCTATCTCAATACATATTCGAGATAAACGAAGAACAGAGAGTCAGACAAACGACAGTGAAAAGTAATGGGTCTGCAATCAAAAAATTCCAGCCAAACATTTTCGTCACATAAAAAATTGAAATATTTTGCGCCAGGTTTGTTTCCACGTGGTTAAATTTTAAAATTTTTCAAATATTTCGATTCCAGACGTAATAGTAAATACTTTATTTATGTTCGTAATGTTATCAGGAATGAAGTGACGTTTGTACAGAAGAGAGATTGCAATCGTTTTTATTTATCTTTATATCTTAATGTATAAGTAGTTATCAGTTTATTTTATTCACATGCACAGCTGGTTAATTTCTATTGATTTGAACAATCGACAGACAAAAGTCTGCTTATATTAAATCAGGTTAGTTATTTTAGTAATAGATTTTCATACGAGTTTTACTTTATGTAGAGATATTTTTAAATGTTATCTAGAAATACTAAAATAATATCTATACAAATATTTTATATCGATTTATTGAAACCATTACAAAGTTGTTTCTGTTTTACAATCTGTGTTTATTGGAAGGACAAAGTTTCGATAAGTTTAAGTTTGTCCTTGCAACACCCAAATTGTATTAATTTTCTTCGTTAAAAATCGTTTTTATTTCTTATATAATAATGCTAAAATGTAAATAATACAAAATAGCTTTTAAGCTGCAAAATTAATGATTTATCCTTAGGAAAAATGTATTTTAAAATATATAATGCATAAAAGTACAAATTTATGGCTGATAAATTTACTACGAGTAGTTTGTAAGACTCTGGACTCTAAATTTGAATTTTTTAATAGCCATTTAATAAATATTTAAAAACATTAAAGGTCATCTCCAGCAGATATCATTAAAAATGTAATGTTTTATCAATAAAAAAATTTTTATGTAAAAATTCTCAAAACCAGAAGTAGATAGGACGAAACAGCTTTTTGTGTTAGAATCCTATTTAATTCTTCTATTAATGCACGGTTTAAATTTTTAAAAATAAAATTAATTAATTTTCTAAGATATTTTTTACGATTTACATAATTCACAAAAAATTAACGAATTTGATTTTCGAAATTTTAAACCGTATTCTAGTAGAAGAATTAAATAGGATTATAAGACAAAAGGCTATTTGATCCGGTCTTCGAGAATTTTTACAAAAGAATTTTTTCATACATAAAGCATTACATTCTAAGGCCATCTGCTGAAGATTGCGTGCGTAAAAAAGGTTACAATTAGCCTTAAGTGAGACTGTTCTTAAAACTTGAGGTTTACGATAAAGTTCGCGAAAGCTGAAACTGGGCCTATAAGAATTTCGATTTTTGTTTATTATAGTTTTATCTGATATAATTTGTGTTTATATTAAAAAAAATAAACTCCATTATATATTTAAAACATGTTAAATGTTTACTTATAACGTTTACAGCAGCATCTAAACAGTTTATAATTTCGTTTCCAGGACAGAAAGAATAAACTCTAGGATTATTAAGATGGATGCATTTCAGAAAATGTTTCCTGAGGACAGTAAAAATTACCCCTGGGATGAGAAAGCTCTTGAAGATTTTAAAAAAGTAATAAGTAAGTGTTATCATAAATATTATGGTACTGTATATAAAATATTTCGAATGTATTATTACGACGGTAAATTTATATAATATTATATATTTTTCAATAATTGGGCTGCAATTTGAAAAATTGTAGACCTATAAATTCCTACTGTCCGTTTATCTATCTGTCTTTGCTTAATCACGATAATGTAGTTAAGGAGGTGAAATATTAAATGAGATATGGAAAAACTAGGGACTCCCGTTTCCGATTAACTGTACAGCAAGTTTCGTTCTAAACAGACATTATGTTATTTCAAATTCGAATATTTTTCCCTAAAAGGAGTTAATTAGATGTACCGCATAATTCTGTTGCTAACAGGAAATGTATGATGTACAGGAGCATGACACTTAATTTCAGACGAAGTGTATATAGTTTAAATTGAACAAATTGCAGCAGGCATTCTGACGACGTCACAATATTGCTCGTTCTTTTATGAATTAAATTTGGAGATGGTTTTAGAATACACAACAGAATTAGTAAAATAGTCGGAAATAAAAATGTTAGTATAATTTGACTACAGAATTTTAAAATTTTATTCCAGTTAGAGTAGGTACGGAAGAATACAATGAAACCTCGATCATTTGTTTACTTATGAAATTTGTCTAAATCAAATGTGACGTTAAACGGAAAAACCTTTGTTATCAATACCCATATTGATAATACCAATGAGCCCTGAGAGTTGGTATTGGGTTCCCTCCTTGACAACGGGCTGGCCAAGATGTAATTTTCCGGAATATCTTCACGTTTGTAATATCTAATTAGAAACCAACTTGCCTTACAAAGTCTTTCCTGGAGACAGATCGAACACGTGTAACTTTGCCGTAAAGAAATAAACCAAACCGAAGAATCTCAGACAATAAGAGTTATATAAAACAGTGGAATCTACAGACAAGATCGAAGTTTAAGTATGTCACGTTATTTGGCGAAGCGATCCCTAAACAACGTAAGATTGTACGGTACGTTTATTAATTCACAAGGCTAAAGCATTCCTAATTTTATTTTTAAGAGAAATATTCATTCGAATTACATGAGAGGGGCGCGATATGGAGGTCCGATTCTCTTGATACGTTATCAAAAATCGAATTGAAATATTTAATTTGAAATAGAGTTCCAAATTCTAAATTTATATCATAAATGTTTTTTACTTTTTTATTAACAAATAATTCTGATACAGGTATGTGCCTCTTAACTATTCGGGATACGCTCTAAGAAATATGTTGTTAAACGAACGTTATTAAGTTTAATTAGACAAACGATATCCACTTATATAGGTCTAATATAACATAATCACAACAATCACTTAAACGTAGAAAATTTACAGTTGGTAACGAGTTTTTGCAACTTCATTATAATCTTAGGAAATCTTCGTCAAACAATGAATCAAATTCTCCATTTTTTAAAAATTTTTTTTATTTTTCTTCACTACTGACGTAAGTAGATTTATTTTCATTAATTAGTAAAAAAAAAGTTAGATAAAGGATCCTAAACCACATCTCTTCAGAAGTTTTTGTATCTGCTTCTTTTGCTCTTTTTCATTTTATTGATGCTTGGTTTTCTTTATCTATCTTATGCTCTATTGCGTGTATTTTAATACAGTTGCTTGCTCATTCTATATATTTTTGGTTTCAATATTTTCTTCGTTTTAAAATTAGAGATAACTGTTTACTTTGTTTACGTACGATAGTAACTCCAACATCAAGATATGAAGAAATTTTTTCAGTTGATATTATTTTGACTCGAGGGCTGTTGAGTTCATTTTTTTTTATTTTTATTCGAGAAATATTACTGTAGTTAATTTAATCTTTATATTAAATAAATTCCTGTTTATTATTTAAATATGCTGTATTTCAAGATGTGAAAGAATTTTTTCAGTTGATGTTACTTTGCATCGAGGGCTGTTGAGTTCATTTTTTTTTATTTTTATTCGAGAAATATTACTGTAGTTAATTTAATCTTTATATTAAATAAATTCCTGTTTATTATTTAAATATGCTGTATTTCAAGATGTGAAAGAAGCATTGCAGTTGATGTTACTTAGCATAGTTATGAAATTATATTTTTATGGTAAGACGTAATTTTAATGTTATGCCAAACACATAATATGCATACGTCATCTTTCTAGAATTACACTATGAAATTCGGTACACATATCAATAAGTAAACTGTATACACAACCAAAAATAAAGATATACTCGTATTAAACATTTAATAGAGATTATAGTATTTAAAATTCAAAATATCAAGTAGTATTTTTAATATCTATTAATTTCGGAAATATGTAAAAATGTCTTTGGTCATGAATCTTAAGATAATTTTTATAACAGTATTACTATTAAATGCATTATTTTATAATGAGTTTTAATTAATTTTTCAGTTCAACATAAAATCAAATGCAAAATGGACGACATTTTTCTTCTTGGATTTCTTCGTGGGATGGAATTTAATGTTGAAAGTTCACTTCAATTGCTTAGGAATTATTATTCTACAAGACTAGAATATCCGGCATATTTTAAAAATCTACTTCCATCAAAGTTAGAAAAAGCTTTATCTTCAAATTGTATGAGAGTTTTACCTCAGCCTGATCAAAATGGACGCTTTATTTGTATAGGACAATTGGGTAAGATTTCTAAAAAGTTTTAATTTATTTTTTAAGTTNAGGGTAATTCCAAGGAATTTTAACAAAAAAATTTTAATTGTAACTAATGTAATTTTAAACTAATATGTATATTTATTAACACCTTTCAAGATATCTCAAAAGTAAAGTTGACAGAAGAGGGGCAAATGCCCGAAACGCGTATCGGCCAACAAGATTTTACAAAGTAAAGAGTTATGCCAAAATGCCTAGTGTCTATCAATGCACCTATTTGTGACAGAAAAAACACAAACTATATTGTCTATACGTTTAATTTGGTAATTAAAAAATGAGAAAACATTTTAATTATATTAAATTTTTTCGTGTTTACATTAGAATGATTGCAATCAAGTATTTATCAAAGAAATGCATTACGTCAATTTGAACGTCATTGTCAAAGGATTATTGAAACTTTCTCTGCCACTCTTTCCTGCAAAACTACGAAATAAAGTAAGTAATTTTTATCCTAAAGAATATAGCAAAAAATATTGTATTTTAAAACATTATATTTTTAAACTAATTGCTTATTATCTATTATTTTTTATTTACTTATGAAACAATACACCAAGTTGTGCAACGTACAGTACATTTCGTTTTAAAAGGTTCTATTACTGACAAATTACAGAACAACGTTTATAAAATAATAATTTAAATATATCGCTGTTCTTATTGTTTGATATTTAGAATGTTTCGTTTATAAAGTAGTTGTTAATTCGAAACGGTGACATTTTTCTTAAGAGTATGCTTTATTTTCCTTGGATACTGCTTTGTCTTCCAAACACAAGAGTCAAACGTTTATGAAAATATTGCTGAAAACATTAATTAAGATATATCAAACGTATTATATTTAATTACTAAAACAGTATCAAAATAAATGACTGAGAACACCCTTTTTCATTAAACAGGCCTGTTTAATGCACAGAAGAAGTAAATTCTGATAACAAGACTACATAGGTAGCATCAGTCAATAAATTTTTTTTAAAAATATATTGTTACAAATGCATACAGTATATACAACTTACAATATAATATCTCTCTCTGTTTTTCCTTCACAATCATGAAGTTATTACATTAATTAGTAAATATATAATTGTTCACGATGACAAAGTAGGAATTCAGCTAGTTAAGTTACCTGTAGTGAAATTATGAATTTATTATTTAATTGCAGCAAACCCTCTACAATTACAATATAAAATAAAAAAAAAACAAAGAATGAATCATTAAAAGAGAATCGACATATTAGTTAGAAACGCTCTCTTTGTATGCAATTGCAAAATAAGTTGTTTTTTGGCTATTATATAAACTTATACTTTTATTACACTGAATACGTAACGTAAATATTTCAAAAGTAAATGAATATTAATGACGTTTAAATTATTGTTTTATAATAAATATAATAACTCGTTTACAGATATTTCCACATAGTGACATGACGTCTTTACATGAATTCATTCATCCAGAATATCTTCCTATTGAATATGGAGGTGAATTACCAGATTTTGATTCGAGTGAATTATTTGAAGTAGTAAGACAAAACGAAGAATTTTTTGTAAGAAACGAAGAATTTCTCAAGATCTACAATGAAACGGTTCAATAAATATTTTTTTCGAAAATTCAAATATTTTCTTCTGGTTAATATAAACTGTTAGCAAATACGAAAATTTATTTACTTTTGATACAAGAATTATATAAAACATTCCAAAGAAAATCAGTGTTTGAAGTTATACACTTTTAAATCATAGTCTTTCGTGTCTTCAATACTTATTTAAATAATATAGAATTCGAAAAAAATATTGTATGACGTATTGAATGAATTAAAAAGTGTTGAATATTTGTGGAATTTCCAATAAAATGAAAATGTTTAGAGGATATTTTTAATGTAATCAACAAATATTAATTAATTATACATTTAATTGTTACCAATTATAATCAAATTGTAGTAAATTACTCATAAAATTAATTTTTAAAATTGAATTTTAAGTGTGTTAGAAATTTTATTTTAAAAGCGATTTGCTGTGTTTAAAGAATTACAGCGCACTTTAAATTAAATAGTTAGAATTTTTAAATTATAAAGATGTTTAAAGTCTTTTTAAAATACAAGAACACTTGTTGAGATAAATGCAGTAAAACCTATATAAATAATATCATGAAGACAAACGTCCATTGTTCCAATGAATCTGTCGTTCTCAGGTTGTTTTGTACGCAATGTTATAAAGCAGAAAACAAGTTCCTGCAAAAAGACCGCTGTTTGGAAGTCACCGCAACTAGAGATTCAATTGTTATATAAATAGTGTTATAAATATATGTTAATTAAGTATTTTACTCTTCTTGTATATTAAAGTGTGTAATTAAATATGTTTAACTAGGTAATGGTATTTTAATACTCTATTTACATTAAATTTAGCAGAAACATATTTTTTTATTTATGTAATCTATTTAGATACTTGCTTGTTTATTACATTCGTACAGAATTATAATGAAAATTGTAATTAAACATAAAAATTTTGATGCATAGAAAAAATTTCTGATCAATGTTTTGGAAGTAAAAATAAAGAATTCAAAACAAATTATGTAACTTTTTTCATAAACAGATCCTCGTAGAGAGAGAACACGCATCAATTTTAAGTTACCTATAATTAAATGTTGAAGTGTAACAATGAACCAATTGTTTTTTCATTGTAAGTGTTGTTAGAATGTTTTTATTAACCATTAAAGTCGGACACAGGCTGAGGGTTTTCCTTATATTTTATATATTTTTTACTTAATTTAACCCATTTAATGCACCTTTCGTCCACTATTATAATAAATTGCCAAATGATATTTAATTAATTAAGAAGGGATTTTTGAAAATTCCTTCTGCGAGGGCTAGAGGGAGAGGATTAAGGCTTTACCTGAAGAACGACTTATACAGTACTATTTTAAATGCGATTTATTGTTTTTATCAGCGTTTAGTCTTCATTGAGTACTTGGGTGCAGTAAATGCATAACATTTTAGACATTGTTATAAATATTTTTATATATTTTGATTTTTTAAGCAAATGTTGCAAGCGTTTTAAATTCGAATTTGTTGTTGCATATTGGTTCGATTATAGAACGATTGTAAACGTTCCAGAAAATTAAGCAAATTGAAAATAGTTCGTTTAATTCTCATCAATTCTCAACATTCTCAGCAGTAGGTGTTGTATAACAATTACTATGGTTGTTGAAATACTGAATATAAATGGGGTTTGCTTGTAATACCCCCACGGGCGAAGTCGCGGGTAACAGCTAATTATATAATAAAATGTAAACATTGAAAAAAACACAAACATTTCCGAGATGTTCGATTGAAATATATAGAATGTTTATTATCATAAGGTACAAGCATACATTAATTGAAGAATTTCGAAATTGTTATTTGCAATGTCTATTACATTGATAGCTAGGAAAGTGACTATAACAATTATTTTACATATCATTGGAACTATCACTGAAAAAAAGATTCCATCCCCGAGTAACATAATTGACCCAAAAGTACAATAAAATACTATAAAAAACAAAATATAAATATTTTTAAAACGATAAAAAGTATAATAAGAAAGAAACATAATACCCAACTTCACTGTCTGTAACCGCCGTTCTTCTTCTCCAATACAGAAGACTTTGCAAACGTTTTCGAACCTAATGTGGTTCTCCTTCAGGCGCTATGGAATTTCCTATATGAATTCGAATTTCCAGAATTAACCGTTGTTTTTGAAAATTTTTTGGAACGTTGTCACGTATTACCGATGGCGTCATTGTAGACTTGCGCATTTTCCGTATGTTGTTATGTTAGAGATTTATTGAGGAAGGCTTCCCATGCTGTTGATATCTTCATTTCTCATTTGAAGTTAATGCAGTGCTTATTCCTGAGGGTGTTAAGGCAAATGTATACGGCCTCAAGCCATCTGAGGTGTTCTGTGCGGACCTTTCGCCATAACACCCTCAGGAATAAGCACTGCATTAACTTCAAATGAGAAATGAAGATATCTACAGCATGGGAAGCCTTCCTCAATAAAACTCTAAAGTAACAACATACGAATAATACGGAAGTCTACAATGACGCCATCGGTCACACGTGACAACGTTCCAAAAAAATTTTCAAAAACAACGGTTAATTCTGGAAATTCGAATTTATATAAAAAATTCCATAGCGCCTGAAGAAGAACCACATTAGGTTCGAAAACGTTTGCAAAGTCCTCTGTATTGGAGAAGAAGAACGCCGGTTACAGGCAGTGAAGTTGGGTAATTTATCTATTCCGGTGTTAAAATTTCTGTATAGAAACATCATACATTATGTAAAAAGCATTGTCATAAATGTTTATATTTTTTTAAAATCTTGACGAAGGATATAATCAATAGGCGACACGTAATCAATGAAGCGATTTAAAAAAGATCAACGACTTAATGCTAGTCAATAATAAAGAGTATTTAGAAATGATTATGACGTAGATATTTCAGTGGGAAGTTTCAACCTGTGCCAGTAATTATATATTATTCCTGATGTTGTCGAAACCGTGTTGTATTTGCTTATTGTGTACAGGCACAATGAAGTGACGTTTTTTTCAACACTGGGCTAGTTGAATCTTTTATTTAGTCTAACTAAATAAAAGATTCAACTAGCCCAGTGTTGAAAAAAACGTCACTTCATTGTGCCTGTACACAATATATATTATTCCATTAAAATATTTATAGATTCGGTCGAAATACTAAACTTTTAGAAATTGGGTAGTCCCTGTCTGAGTCTTTCGACATCGGAATGTACGGAATAAGTGTACGGAAAATGGCAAAATTGTTTACTTGTTCTTTAATAACTTTGAGTAATAAAGAAGGGGCAGACATTGCTCAGATTACTATGCAGTAATCTATTAAAGATTAAAAATTTCTAAAGAAAATCGGCCTTAGTACACTTTTTAAGGATATAGGTTTAAAACACGGCCATTAAATTCCACAGCAAATTGCGATAG